ACCACTACTGATCAGGTAAACTGCAGTGTTGACCGCATCCACCCAAAAAGTTGGTAGTCTGACGTGCAATCTCATGCTTTCGGCCAGTTTATTAATGGTCTTGTTCATACGTTTTGTAACTCTATTTTTTCGTGGTGTCCCTAGAATGGTCTTCTACATTTTAATGCTCTGACCTGTACAATACTTTTTGAACCCACCATAACTGTATTGACCACCATTATCATGTCTCAAACTTTTCAGTTTCAAGTATGTCTTTATCTCAATCATTGCCTTCTAAGTTTTGAATACATCATATTTATGCTTTAAGAAGTAAACTCATACCTTCCTGATGTGGACATCAATGAATGTGACATATTATCAAGAGCCTCCAAGAGATGCTACTGGGGAAGACCCCCACATAGTCTAGTCAGAATCTTTCCTGCGCACCTCCTAAACCAAAATCAAATCACAAATATTATCATATTCAGCTCAGATTTCCTTGCACAATTACTAACAGTTATTCTCATGGCTTTCACGTATCTTGTCATCAAATTTAATTTTCAAAGACTATAATTGATTTGTGATAGTACTAAAATCATTCAGATGTTTTGCAACTCCTGTACCATCCGCCATCTTCAAATTGAAGAACTTTTTCATTAGATGAACCTTGCCATTCGTTGATTGTTTTTCATACATACATGACAAAACTGTCATGAGATCTGCGGTCGTTCTTTTCTTGAGGGCGTTGTGCACCACAAATCTTGACAGTTAATCGAATAACCCCTATAACTTGTTGATCCAACAGGTTTTATTCAGCCTCATCCATCTTTTATGGTAAATTTCCCAACAATAGAAGATGAAGTTTCTTCTCATAGAGATAGTCATTTATCTGCATCCTCTGGTAACCAAAATTCGTGCTTTCAAATTTCTCGATCCCTGATACCTTCACTTCGTTCTCCAGCCAGTGATTTTCCTCATATCCAAACCTTGTCTCTAATGCCAATTGTTGTGAAAAAACACGTCAATAAAGCAAAAAATTGAAACGAGAAAATCGTAAAACATGACAGAACACAGATTTACATAATTTGAAAAATTGTCTATGTCCACGGAGTTGCATAAAATTTTATTGTTTTAGGATTTCACCGTCGATCTCGTTGACTTACACGAAACTCTCTATCTCTCTTCTTCTCTATCTACACGTGAGCCACCAAGGAAAACAAGATCAGATGGAGACTCTCTTCTTCTCTATCTACACGTGAGCCATCAAAGAAAACAAGATCAGATGGAGACTGAAACCTTTGCTTATTCTTCAACCACTTGCTCCTTCTTCGGTTTTCTTCAACACAGCAAGAACACCACACCAAAGGAGCTTCTTCTCGTTCTCCACTCGTAAGCCACCACCGAAAGATCCAATTGATGGTCAAGAGCCCTTGCTTACTTCTTTGTCGCGAGTCGTAGATCTTCTTAAGGCGGTTGCCTTTTGTAAATAAAGGAAAGAGAGAGAGAGAGAGAGCTGGAGAGTGGGAGATCTCCATTTTCGCAAAAAAACCCGGAAGGCGGGGAACATAAGAGGAAAGGAACAGGTGAGGGATTAAACAAAAGAAAGAAATAAAATTTTGAATAATTTCCATAGATGCAAAAACCACCAATAAGGGAAGTAGATTGGGCTCCACAATATTAAAAAAAACATAATGAGTTATATAAAAATAACCCAAGAGTAATCACACTTCTTGACTAAAGTAACCCAAATGAAATAATTCAATGTGCATAATAATCTTTCATATCTCTGTAAGAAATCTTATAGTATACCAATCTTCTATATTTTTATAAGGAATATGATAATATATTAATGCATGTATCAATGACATTTTCAAAATGAAAATAGTCTACATTATTATATGCATTTACTTTTACTATAATCTTAGCTTTACTTTTACTTTATTAAATTTATATACACATCTATCTATATTGAGGATCACCTTCAACAAAACCATACAAACCCTTAGTCGATATTGTCTCGTCAGCTCCCGTCGACACAACGGTCAATGATCTGCATATCACAATTGTCTAGAGTGAAAATGTTCTTATTTGCCCCTGACCGATATTATCCCGTCGGCACAACGGTTAGAGATTTAAATATTATAATTATCTATGGTGGTAAGCTATGTCTACTCGCTTCTTACTGATATTATCTCATCAGCATAGTGGTTAGTGAACTAACTATTACAATAATTTGTGGTGGTAGAAAAAAAACTCTACGCGCATGGGTACACTGTCATCGTCTACATGTACCATTAGGGAGTGAGCTTCTCATCTGAACATGCACATACAAACATTCATATATACCATATTTTCATTTCATCATTCAAAACATACATTACTTTCATGTGAGACATTTATTTATTTATTAAAAAATCATGCTGCTCTACTAAAATAAAAGTTATATGATAATCTAAAGGATGCACCTTTACTCTAGATTGAAAGTTCAAATAAAGATCAAATCATAATCTGACATATATGTTTAGGCATGTAAATAATGCAGTAATCTGACACCTTCATAAACTAAATAATTATACAACTTTTAAGATAGTGACAATTAACATGCATATATCATGATTAACTATACAAAATATTATAAGTGATTTAATTTTATTGTGCAACTATTTAACATGCATAATATTCTATCTGACAATATGAAGAATAAAGTATAATCGAAATCTCACAGCATAAATGAAGTTAAACTTACATAAAAGAAACCATAAAAAATAATCAAATACAGAAATATAATTACTCACCTTAACCTTACTTGCTTGCCTCGTTGGTTTCCTATCTTAGATATTTTAAGTTCAAATGTTCTTCAAGCTTGATTGCTTTCTCTTGACAATTCGACTTGATTCGGCCTTAATCTTCCTGCCTATAATTTTTAAATATCATACTATTAATATCTTAATGCACAAACATTTTTTTTTAAAAATTTCATTTATTAAAATAAATAAATTATAACATTTACCTTAATTATTTCGATGTCTTTCACAGTTATTGACCCTTATCTTCCTCCAAATTCAAAACTTAAATAGCTTCGATCCTGAATTCAAAAGCACTTATAATTAATATTTAAAGAATAAACAATATATATATATATATATTAAAATTTATTATTTTACTTCTATTAAAAATCCAATTCTTACCTTAATAACTCTCGGTTGCCCTAACTCTTTCACATGCTCCCTCCTTCTCACACACACAAGCATAACTGCTTTGATTCTCCCTTATTTTGCGAGCACACAAAGTCTTCTCCTCCACCCGAAAGAGTTGTGTCCCTTTTCTTGTTTCTTCTTTGGTCACAACATGACTCAACGCCACAATTCCTCCTTCACACACAATGCAAGGCTGATTGCTCATTCTCTTTCGTACAGTAGTAGCGCACAAAACGTTCTCTTATTGTTTAACGTTTGACTACCTCACATATATGCACCCAGTGCCATAAAAACCTCCAAATTTGAAAATTTATAGAAACTAAAATCAAAATATAAATTTAAATATTTCTTCTTGATATGACTTTTGTGATGAGCTTGAGTGGGCTCGTAATTGGGTGCTTTCTTGGGCTTTTGCTTGAGCTCTTGTAAGTAAACGTTTGACTTCATTTGCTTGAGAGTTTGAATGTGTTTTAGCCTTCACTGGATTCTTATAATTTCTTCTTTATTTTGATCATATCGAATTGCACCGATTTAATTCTCCTTCATACAAAACATGTTCTACATTTATATAAATAACCTTACATTATTTTGCATCAAGAATAAAAGTGAAATATCACAAATAAGTTGACATATATTTTGAACTATTTAGTTAGATGCCCTACAATTTAAATGAAATGAATTGACAACAAATATTCATTATTTGTGATGGCAAGTGTATTATTTTTTGTATTTTGGGTCTTATTTGGGATTTGTTTGAGTAAACTACGCTTTGATAGCTTTTTCAAAAAACTAACGTTGAAATTTACTTTTTCCCACCAGCCCCGACTAGGTGCAGTTAAAACTTTCAAGCTGCAGTCTAAGTTTTTTTAAAAAAAAAATGTAAGTCTCTGCAGCTTTTTGAACACGATATTATTTTTCAACAGCT